AACCTTCACTTGATTTTTACATCAGTGAAGTTCCATGGTGTCCCTTACCAGAATATTTATCATGTGATGGCCAATGTCCGGGTCATCATGAGTCAGTCTCTGATGGTTTGAAAAGAAATGATCCCCCAAAGGGAGTGGCACTTTAGGAGGTGTGGCCTTGTTGGAGAAAGTGTGTCACTTTTTCAGGGTAGGCTCTGAGGTTTCCTATGCTCAGGATACCACCCAGTGTCACAGTCAACTTCCTGATGTCTGCAAGATGTAGCATTCTCAGCTCCAGCAAAGGTCTACCTTCATGCTGCCATGCTCTCCATCATAATGAATGTGGACCAAACATCTGAAACTGTAATCCAGACTCAATTAAATGTTTTCTTTATAGGATTTGTCATGGTCATGGTGTCTCTTCACAGCAATAGTAAACTCCAACTATGACAGAAGTTGGTACCAGGGACTGAGTGATTGCTGTGATAGTACTGACCATGACTTTGTTTGGAGTAATACTGACTTTGATACTTTGGGTTAGGAAAGCAGTGGAATATTTTAAGTGCTACTTGATTAGCCATACTAGTAGCAGGATGGACAACAGTGGTGCTTACTTTGATTTGATGAACTGTTGGGGGCTACCTCAAGAGGTTTCAGAGGAGAATTTTAGTGTGTTGCCTAGAGATCATTCTTGTGATATTTTGGTGAAGAAAGTCTGTCTTTTGCTCTTGTCTGAAGAGTTTGTCTGAGGCTAAAGTGAAGAGTTTTAGATTAATTCCTTTGGCAGAAGAAATCTCAAAACAGCATAGTATAGACTCTGTCATGTCGATATTAGTGGTAACTATAATGAAGATTTATAATGAAAAAGAGTAAGCTGAGCAAGGTAAATTACAAAATAAATATTTTGAGGAGAAAAAGAAACCAGGAAGTGGAATAGACCTAAATTCTGGGATCTAGGAGAAATTAAGAAATGGAATAAAGGGAGTGGTGACCTCAGGGCAAGATCCCCCTCCAGCTAAGTTTCCAACTTGTGGAAAGAAACTAAAGAAAAGCTTAGAGCCTGGTGTGGTGGAGCACAGTTTTAATTCCAGCACTGGGATGGAAGAGGCTGGCAGATCTTTGAGTCTGATGCCAGACTTATCTACAGAGTAATTTTCAAGATAGCAAATCCTAGGCAGTGGGAGACAAAAAGCTGGTGAAGATGTAATTGAATAAGGGGACCATGTTCCAAGCCCAGTAAGCAGCAGAACTTGGCAGCTTTGGTCACCTGTTTCTGGCTTTAGAGTTAAGAATAGAAGAAACAGGTTATGAAAATAGCCTCCATGCCTAAAAAAAAAAGCCACCAAGCATATGTCAAGGGTGTACCTGAATGAAGGCCTAGTAGAGAGGCCATTGAGTAAAGCTGTGAAGTTGAAGCCTGGATTGCCTTTGAGAACCCAAGTTGTTAAAGGTGCCAGAGTCGTGGGATACCTGCTGAGTGAAGCTGATAGCAGGAAGTAGAACTAGTCTAAGAGAAAATAGTGTTGCAGTCAACAAAGCTGAATGGAGTTCAATAGTTGAAGAGCTTTTCAGCATCAGACATGAAGATGCAGAGTTCGGAGTTTGTCCAGCTGGCTTTCAGTCTTGCTATGAGCTTCCTTACTGTGCTCCCTTCTCTGCATTTGGAATGGTAATGTATATTGAGTGCCATTATATATTGGAAATATGTGATCTGTTTTTTTTTTTAACTTTTATTTTAAAGGCGATTACAGTTAAGAGATTGCCATGCAGATATTTTGAACTTTGGACTTTTAAACATTGTTGACACTGTGAAAGTCTATAGAGACTTTTGAAGTTGTGCTAAATGAATTTTGCGTTATGGTATTGTTACAAGCCTTTGGGGCCAGGGAGTGGAGTGTGGTAGTTTGAAAGAAAATGACCCCAAAGGGAGTGGCACTATTAGGAATTGTGGGCTTGTTGGAGGAAGTATGTCACTGTGGGGCAGGCTTTGAGGTTTCCTATGTTCAGATACCACCAAATATCTCAGTTGACTTCCTGATGCCTGCAAGAAGTAGCACTCTCAGCTCCAGCACCCTGTCTGCCTGTGCACTACCATTCTCCCCATCATGATGATAATGAACTGAAACTCTAAAACTGTAAGCCAGCCCCAATTAAATTTTTTCTTTATAAAAGTTGCTGTGGTCATGGTGTCCTTTCACAGCAGTAGAAAACCCTAACTAAGAAAGTCCCCCATGGCCTGTGTAGGAGGGCATAAAATCAGCCTCACCTGGGACATGCCATTAACACACAAAGGGACACTTAGGCAGTCCCTATTCTCTAGGTAAATGAAACAATTTTTGCACAGCATACTTCCTACTTTCTAAAATTTCTTTGTATGATCCTTCCTCATGTGGATAGCATTTTTGGAGACCAAGGATCTTAGAGGTGCTTTTGTCATCTCTATATAGTTTTATTCGTGGAAGGCAGATCTCAGGCTGCAGACAAAGTTTAAACAGACAGACAGAATTCTCAGTTCCATCTAGCTATCCAGTCTGCCTTTTTCTCCTTTTTGTTTAGTTTGTGATCCAAGACCCACAGGATGGTTCCACCTGAATAGATTGTCTTTTCTGGTCTGTTAATCTTTCCAGGAAATAACTTTGCAGACACAGCGAAAAGTGTACTTATTAATGCCCTAGGTCTTTCTTCCTTTCTTTCTCTCATTTTTTAAAAAGTGTATGGGTGTTTTGTTTGGCTGTATGTCTCTGTATCATTGTGTACAGGGCCACAGAGGCCAGCAGAATGTATCAAATACTCTGGAACTGGGGTGTAGTTAATATACACAATGAGACTCATTTGGAGAACACTAATATTTCTTTCTCAAATGGGTACTCATTGCAGACAGCTTCTTGGTTAGAAGTTTGAGCCCTCTTGATCTCAATGCAGGGACCTTGCCTAGCTTGAAACTGTACAGATACTGTGTGTGCTGCTACAGTCTGTGAGTTCATATGTGCAGCAGCCCTTTTGTGTCTGGAGAACACTGTTTCCTTGGAGTCAACCATCACCTCTGGCCCTTACACTCTTTCTGCCTCCTCTTCTTCATAGGTCCCTGAGTACCGATGGGAGGGTTTGATAAGAACATTGCATTTATGACCGAGTGCGCCAATGTTTCTCACTCTTTGAACACTGTCTACTTGTGGGTCTCTGTGTAAGCTCCTTTTTACTGCAGAAGACACTTCTCTGATAATGGTTGAGTGAGGCACTGGTCTATGGGTCAGAGTGTCATAGACAGTCATTTTATTGCTACTTTTCCTTAGCAGAACAATAGTATTTGGTTTTCCCCTACACTCATGGCCTATCCAGCCTCATGTTCTTGGTCACCCTAGCAGTGTCAGGAGTGGGTTCCATCCCATGTAATGAGCCTTAAATCCAACCAGAGAGTGGTTGGTGACTCGTGGAACATTGGTTCTACTATTGCACCAGCATGTCTCACAGGCATGTTACATCCAAGGTCACAGGGTTTGTAGCTGGGTGATGATTGTCTTTCTCTGTGGTGGCATGCACAGTGTCTTCTGGCACTATGAATCAAGTCAGTAGGGTGAAGCCAGTTCTGCAGTTGATCTACCTGCCTCCCTGGCCTGTATAGCTGGTGGGTTCCCAGGGAGAACCTGCTGGAGATGCAGGCAGGGATAATGATGTGAGTGATGGCAAGAGCTGTTGGAGGGGAAGATCTGCATGATCTGCTGGAGATGGGGCAGAGAGGGAGGGGAGGCCATAGCAGGTGGCCTGCTACAGAGTTGGGGGTAAGTGGGGGGTTTGATTTGGAGGAGAGCTTTAATTTCAAAAATAAAAAAAAACTATTATAAAAAAAAAGAAAGGCCGGGCGTTGGTGGCGCACGCCTTTAATCCCAGCACTCGGGAGGCAGAGCCAGGCGGATCTCTGTGAGTTCGAGGCCAGCCTGGGCTACCAAGTGAGTCCCAGGAAAGGCGCAAAGCTACACAGAGAAACCCTGTCTTGAAAAATCAAAAAAAAAAAAAAAAAAAAAAAAAAAAAAAAAAAAGAAAGGTAGGAAACTAAAAGAGGAGCAATACAAACTAGCTTAGTGAGTGTGGAAGATCTCCTAAGGAGAGGACACCTTAAAAAATCAATTTGTAGGAATTAGCTTTACAATTGGGTGAGCTGTTCTCTGTAACTAGTGACTGGGAACTATTAAAATGAAGCCACAGTGAAGTCAGAGGACCCCTGAGAGTGGTAATATAAACAACTTTGGATAAGATTTTTTTCCTACAAACTACACCTACCCTATTGCCCAGCAATTTCACTCCTTCATTCATTATCATTTTTGTAAACAAAAACATGTTTACAGAAAGTTGGGCAAAGGGTATGTAGAGGCTTTATTCTGAATGACCATCCAACTAGAAACCATCCAAATTCCCAGGGCCAGGTGAAAGGATAAACAAATTTGAATGTCCTTCTTTACAGTAGGACAATACTAAGCAGTGAAAACACACTCATGCTAACAATGTGAGAGAATATCAAATGCATTGTGTTGAATGAATGAAGAAATACATAAAGAAATAAATATTTAAGGACTTTAAAGTCCTAGCATAGGTGGCTGTTCTGGCACTAGAACTTCAAACACTGATTCCCTGTGGGGATGGGAGAGTTGGGAGAGTAGCTGGGATGAGACTAGGAAAGTATCTAAGATGATGTAATTGTCAAAACTGAACACTTAAAACATATAAATTATTTTCCAATGAAACCTGTTTGATTCAGGTAATAGGAGACAACAACTGTGCCCTCTTCCTCCTCCTCCCCCCTCTTCTTGTTTCCATGTTTCAGACCACAGTGGTGAGATATCATGCAGTCAGTCTTCACTGGGAAGACACCAGGGGACCAGGAGCAATGGGAGACCTGCAGTGTGTTATACCAACACACAATCTATGATTCTAGAATGTGGATTAATGAGCTTGTAGACAAAATACATGTGAAGCACTACTAATTTTGAAGCAATTCTCTACCCCAGGCCCTCATAATCAATTGATACTGAATTTAGGTTTGAAAGCTCATCACTTATCAATTCAAACCTAAGACACAAATACTAGGAGGAAGAAAGCAAGGTTTAACTGTGAGTGCTGCCAGCCCAGGGGGAGACAGACTGGTGTCTTACCTCCCCTTTCAAATATTGGGAGAGGAAGGGGAATTATGTAAGGACCAGAGAAAGAAGTAGAAAGGAGTGTTGCCCAGGGCTTAAGTGAGACAGTTTGTGGACAACTGGAGATGGTGAATGCCACACTGTGGTGATATTCCCTTATTGTGTGCATGGGACATTCTAGTTTCACATTGTGTGTGATTATTAAACAGAGTTCCTAGAATCAATTCAGAAAAACAAGCAAGATTGTCTTGGCTGGTAAAGGCCTTTTCTAGGACTGAAAATGAGAAAAATGGGGAGTAGAGCAAAATTCAGTTACTGGCAGCAGCCTCCTAGAGAGGAGCCAGGAAGCATGTCTCTTCTGAGTTCAGGGAACAGCCCTGTGGTGGTTTGAAAGAAAATGGCATCCAAAGGGAGTGGCACTATTAGGAGGTGTGGCCTTGTTGAAGGAAGTGTGTCACTGTAGGGGTGGGCCTTGAAGTCTCTTTTGCTCAAGCTTCCCTCAATGTGGCAGTCAGTTGACTCCATGTTGCTTGTAAGCTAAAATGTAGCACCACATCAGCCTGCACACCACCATGCTCCTGTCATGATGATAACGGACTGAATCTCTGAAACTGTAAGCAATCCATTCGAATTAAATGTTTTCTTGTCTCTTCACAGCAATGAAAACTCTAAGACAGATGTAGGTACGAGGAATGGGGTATTGCTGTGATAATCCTGGCCATGTGTTTGTTTGGAGGCATTTGGATTTTGGTACTTTGGGCTAGGAAAGCAGTGAATTGCTTTAAGCACTGCTTAATGAGCCATAGAAGTAGAAGCATGGAAGACAGAGGTGCTAAGAGTTATTTGAACTGTCAGGAACTCACTCAAGTGGTTTCAGAGGAAAAGAATTTTAGAATGTTGATTAGAGATCATTCTTGTGATATTTTGGTGAAGAAAGCGGCTGTCTTTTGCCCTTGTCTGAAGAGTCTGCCTGAGGCTGAAGTGAAGAGTTTTAGATTAATTTCATTGTCAGAATCCAAAAACAGCATAGTATAGACTCTGTCATGTCAATATTATTGGTAACTATAATGAAGATTTGTAATGAAAAGGAGCAAGCTGACAGGGTAAATTACAAAAAGTAAATTTTGAGAAGAAAAAGAGCACCAGGAAGTGGAATGGAGTTAAACCCTATGTTTAGGGAAAACTGGAATAAAGGGAGTGGTCACCTCCATGCAAGATCCCACACAGCTAAGTTTCCAACTTGTGGAAAGAAACTAAAGAAAAGTTTAGAGCCTGGTGTGGTGGGGCACAACTTTAATCCCAGCACTGGGAAGGCAGAGGCTGGGGTATCTCTTAGTCTGAGGCCAGCCTGGTTTACAGATCCAGTTTCGGGACAGTCAAACTTAGGCAGTGAAGGAAACCATCTATAGAACAGAAAGCTGGTAAATATGTAATTGAATGAGAGAGCCATATTCCAGCCTCAGCAACCTAGAGCACTTGTTAGCTTCGGCCACATGGTTCTGGCTTTAGAGTTAAGGATAAAAGAAAGGAGTTACAGAATAGAGATGCTGAGGCCAGACATGTGTTAGGGGCATTCCTAAATGGAGTAGAGAATCCATTGTGTGAAACTGTAAAGCTGAAGCCTGGATTGTCTTGGAGAACCCAAGATGTTAGAGGTATCATGGGATAACTGCAGAGAAGAGCTGCTAATAGGGAATAGAACCTGCTCAAAATAAAGAACTGCATGCACTCAACAAAGCTGAACAAAGCTGAACAGATCTGAAGAGCACTTTAACATCAGACATGGAGCTGCAGAGTTTGGAGTTTGCCCAGCTAGCTTTCAGTCTTGCTTTTGTCCAATATTTCCCCATGATGCTCCTTTCCATGTGTTTTGGAATGGTAATGTATATCATATACCATTATATGTTGGAAATATGTGAAATACTTTTTTATTTTTAGAGGGGGATTACAGTTAAGAGATTTCCATGCATCTCAGAAGAGACTTTGAAATTTTAACTTTTTAAAAAAATTTTTAATTTATTTTTTTATTTTTTAATTACACTCATGATATTCCTTAATTACACTCATGATATTAATTATATTTGTGGTATTCATTAATTACATTCACAGTATTCATTCAATGACTATATTTATGATATCCATTAATTACATTAATTATATTGATTTATTATAATCATGATGGTATGACCTGTTTGTGGGGCTTTTCCATCACACAAAACAGAACAAGGGAATCCATGGCTGATATGTAAAACTAAATTATATTGTAAAATAAAATAAAATAAAATAAAATAAAAAGAGATTCTGTACTTAGGAAATATTGCGCTATATTCCTTTCCTCTCCATTTTGAGATAACGTCTAATCTTTCTGTCTCTGTGAATTTGTATATTCTATATATTTCATGTAATACAATTCTATAGTATTTGTCCTTTTTTTGAATGTAGAAACATTTTATGTACAACTGTAGGGGAAATAATACACAGGTAGCTTGAACATAAAAGCAGGTATAATTGAAAAGTCCTGGGTTATTTGAAAGAGGAAAATATTCTCTCTGTAGAAAATAGTAGAAACTATAACATTTCCCAATAAGCCCTTTTAAGCCAAATAATAGCTGAATTATACATATAAATATTGATTAGATTTGGAATACAGAAGAGACCTATCTTCATCTGCTAAGAGAGCTGTTTTACTTAAGCTGTGTAAGTGAGATTCCTATTCACCTTCCCCTTTACTGTTTGATTTATGACAGACATTGTTCAACAAATGGTGCTGGCATAACTGGAAGTCAATATGTAAAAGATTACAAATAGATCCATATCTGTCACCATGCACAAAACTCAAGTCCAAGTGGATCAAAGATCTCAACAAAAATCCAGTTACACTGAACTTGCTAGAAGAGAAAGTAGGAAGTACTCTTGAATGCATTGTCACAGGAGATCACTTCCTAAATATAACACCAGTAGCACAGACACTGAGAGCAACAATTAATAAATGGGACCTCTTGAAACTGAGAAGGTTTTGTAAGGCAAAAGACACAGTCAATAAGACAAAAAGACAGCCTACAGAATGGGAAAAGATCTTTACCAACTCCACATCTGACAGAGGACTGATCTCCAAAGTATATAAAGAACTCAAGAAACTGGACTTCAAAATACTGAATAATTCAATTAAAAAATGGGCTCCAGGCCTAAACAAAGAATTCTCAAAAGAATAATCACAACTGGCTGAAAGACATTTAAGGAAATGCTCAACATCCTTAATCATCAGAGAAATGCAAATCAAAATAACTCTGAGATACCACCTTACACCTGTCATTATGACTATGACCAAAAACACTAATGACAGTCTATGTTGGAGAGGATGCAGAGCAAGGGGAATACTCCTCCACTGTTGGGGAATGCAAACTTGTACAACCACTGTGGAAATCAGTATGGCGGTTTCTCAGAAAATTGGGAATTGATCTACCTCATAGACCCAGCCATACCACTCTTGGGCTTATACCCAAGGAATGCTTAATCATACCACAAAGATACATGCTCAACTGTGTTCATAGCAACATTATTCATAATAGCCAAAACCTGGAGACAACCTAAATGCCCCTCAACTGAAGAATGGATTAAGAAAATATGGTACATATACACAATGGAGTACTACTCAGCAGAGAAAAACAATGACATCATGCAATTTGTAGGCAAATGGATGGAACTAGAAAATATCATCCTGAGTGAGGTAACCCAGACTCAGAAGGACAAACATGGTATGTACTCACTCATAAGTGGATACTAGGAATAAAGCAAAGGATAACCAGACTGCAACCCACAGATCCAGGGAGGCTACTAAGCAGAGGGAGACCCTAAGATGAGTGTGGCTTATAATAAATTTTGGTTTTGCCCAATCACTGGGCAAGCTTTAGTGAAACATTTCACTATTAGGATAAGAATTTGTTATGTATCAAGCTGATGAAAGAAAATGCTGGCTGTACTTTCAGGAGGGGGAGCTAAAATCTTTTTAGATTATGGAACTTTGGACTTTGAAATAACTTTGAGACTATTATTGACAATGGGACTTTTGAAGTTGGACTAAGTGCATTTTGCATTATGATATGGCTATAAGCCTTTGGGGCCAGGGAGTGGAATGTGGTGGTTAAAATGCAAATGGCCCCCAAAATGGAATGGCATTATTAGGAAGTATGGCCTTGTTGGAGGAAGAGTGTCACTGTAGGGGTGGGCTTTGAGGTCTCTTTTGCTCAAGCTCCATCAGTGTGACAGTCACTGCCTGCCTGCCACCATGTTTCTGTCATGATGATAATGAACTGAATCTCTGAAAGTGTAAGGGTGCCACCCCAATTACATGTTTTCTTTATAGGAGTTGCCATAGTTATGGTGTCTCTTCACAGCAATGAAAAGCCCTGAGCATATATAGAGAATTTTGGGAGGAAAACTTTTAGATGCAGTTGTCAAGGGTTAGAAGCACAGTTCTAGGCAGGTGATTTTCAGAGCCAACAAGGGCTTTGAATATCAAATGGACTCACAGGCTTATCTATTTGAACACTTGGTCCCCAGTGGGTGGCGCTATTTGGGAAAGCAGTGGAGCCTATAGGAGGTAGAACCTTGCTGGAAGAAATGGATGACTGGGGTGAGCCTGGCCCCACTTCCTGTTCACTTTCTGCTTCCTGACTGTGGCTGCAGCAAGATCAACTGGCTGCCTGCTCCTGATGCTGTGCCTTCCTCACCATGTTGGAATGGATTCCTTTGAACTGTAAACCAAAATAAACCCACTCTCCCTTCCTTCCTTCCTTCCTTCCTTCCTTCCTTCCTTCCTTCCTTCCTTCCTTCCTTCCTTCCTCCTTTTCTTCCTTTGTTGGTTTAGCTGGTTATTTTATCATACTAATAAGAAGTATTAGTATGATAAACCCCAAGTGGGGTTGGGGATTTAGCATGGGTTTGGAGATTAGCTCAGTAGTAGAGCACTTGCCTAGCAAGCACAAGGCCCTGGGTTTGGTCCAAAGCTTAAAAAAAAGAAAAGAAAGAAAGAAAGAAAGAAAGAGAAAGAAAGAAGGAAGGAAGGAAGGAAAGAAAGAAAGAAAGAAAAGAAAAGCAGGCCTGATGAACCCACTCTGAGAGAGCTTTCTCATCACTCAGAAACTGTGGGACCACGCGAGAAGTAAATACTACCTTGTATGGGCATGATATTGGAAGCCTCATTGAACTCTTAGGACTTAAAAAAGTAACTCTTGAGTTATGGTTTGGATCTGAAGGACCTTAGACAGTGATTTGAATGTTTGCTTCCTGGCTGGTAGCACTATTTTGTAGACTATGGAATCTTTAGGAGGCAAAGCATGGCTGATGGGCAGAGCTCACTAGGGAAGGATCTCCCTGTAGCATTCTTTCTGTTTCCTGGCCTTCCATGATATTAATCATAGGCTTTCACTATTATTGACGGAATCCCTCAAATCCATGAACTAATCTTTCCTCCTTTAAGTTTCTGGTTAGGTAACTTGGTCATATTGGCATAAAAGTATCTAATGTGCCCTGCTTGAAGCTGATTTTTACCAGCATGGCCTGGTGTGATTGCTTGGAGTTGGCCCCTTGGATCTGCTGAGGTCTTTACAGATGCCAGAAATGTAAGCATCAGCAATCCAACAACAAAAGATATCTTGGGTTTGCATTCAATCTGCCATAATGTTCAGTGGGACCATGGTAAAAGAGGGTAAGAGGAGGGAGAGATGCCAAATGGAGATAGGAGTTAAAATTCTGCCATTCTATCTGTTTCCCTAAGAATTCTATTTTAATATCCACTCCCTGATCTGTATTCCTCCTCGGTGCTTGGCTGGGCAATGAGACTCAAGAAGGAAAGAAACATGATTCTTGGCCTTAAGGAACTACAAATCCAGACAGTTGTGATGGACCATCTAGAATATGGCCCATGAAGTTATGGGGGAAGAGACAGCTCTTTCCACAGCTTCTTAGGTAGAGAGACACATCAACTGAGACTCAGCTATAGGTAGGAGAAACAAGAAGAACAAATACAAGGTACAAAGGCATGAAGTCAATGTGCTTTGGTGCAGAGAGAGGCAAAAGTTTCCCCTGAATCGCTAGCTCTTTCCGAAAGACACACTATCCCTTAGAGTTTCTTATCATCTCACCCATAGTATTTGGATCCCCAAAGATTCTCAGTTCCACAGATTTGAGGCTTTTGCTGAGTCTGTTGACATTGTAGCTTGTAGAGAAACAAGGCTTCCTGAGCTCGGCTTAGGAGCAAATGACTAGTGCTTGTGGTTGATATATTGTCACCTCAATAAACTTATCTGGGGATCAGAGAACAGAACAGCCATAATATTAAACATAGAGGTCAGACCATGGTAGCACACGCCTTTAATCCTAGCATTCCAGAGGCAGAGATCAATCCAGATCTCTGTGAGTTCAAAGCCACACTGGAAACAGCCAGGCATGGTGACTCACACCTTTAATCCCAGGAAGTGATGGCAGAAAGGTATATAAGGATCTAGGGCTGGTTAAGCTTTTAGGCTTTTGAGCAGTTCAGCTGAGATCCATTTAGATGAGGACACAGAGGCTTTCAGTATGAGGAAACAGGATCAGCTGAGGAATTGGCAAGGTAGGTGGGGCTTGTTCTGCTTCTCTGATCTTCCAGCATTCACCCCAATACCTGGCTCCAGGCTTGTTTTTATTAACAAGAACTTTTGAGAATCCTGCTACATGTGCTAGGAGCAGAAAATAGTGTTCAGTTGCTATGAAAGCATCGCCAAAATGACTGCTTCTTTAGCCAGTGACTTCCCAGAAGCACTCTTTCTCTGTGTGATCTCCCATAGGAAACTCTCTGTTGTGTTAAGTAAAAATGTAATATTTAAATGCAGCCCTAGAGCCGTATTACCTGGATTTGTAGCCCCAGCTATGTGGTTAGTTACCTGACTTTGAACAACTTAGTTTTTATTGTGTGTATCATTCTCCTTACATATGAAATGGTGATAATGACTTTTACCTCATGATTTAATACATGCTAAAGCCCTGGAAGATTTGCTAGATCAATCAATGTTCTATAAATGTTGTTATTATTACTGATGATATAGTAACCTAATACAATGGGTTCACCTCTTGGTGGGTGTGAAGTTTATTACCACAATCAGGATGTAGAAAGAATGAAGAAAAGTGTGTTCCCTCAAGTGAATGAGAAGAGAGCTGGGGCTAATTCCCAAAGCAATGTCTCTAAGCACAGAAAGCAAAGGAGCAAAGTCATGTCTTCATATGGTACAGACTTGGCACACTCAAAGGAGAGCACATTCTTGAGTACACTCAGGTCAAAGTCCTTCCTGCACAGCGCATGTTCAAACATGATGACCAAGCATGCCTCTGGGCAGGGAATTTAGTATTATGTTGAGTAAAACTTACTGTAGGTTACCAAAGGCTTGGATTGACTGAATGATTCAAGATGTTCCTTGTAGGTTTCCACAGAAGGGTGCATCTAAAACAACTAAAACAACAAAAACATCAAAGGCATGTTAATAGTCATGTAAAGGTGCAACAGCACCCTTTGTAAAGATTGGCTCTAGAAGTTATCTGACTAGCGACCAAAGAAATCCCCCATGACATTCCCTTCCTCAGACCTCAGGGCCTTAGAGATAGTGGTAATTCCAGAATCACTTAATGTGAATAGGGCACTGTCATGACCTTTTTAAAAAAGTGAAATTCTCTTATTAATAAAGTGCGCTAGCAGCCCCTAGAATCAACTAAGCAGGGCTCATAGAGGCTCATAGAGACTGATGAGGCAGCCACAGAGCCTGCATAGGTCTGTGCAAGGCCTTCTGCGTAGATGCTGTGGTTAATGTTTACCTGGGGGTTTTGTTGGACTCCTAACAGTGGCAGTGGGATTGTCTGTGACTCTTTTGTGTGCTCATGGGACCCTTTTCCTCCTACTGGATTGCTTCATCCAGCCTGGACATGAGGGTTTGTGCTTGGTCTTATTGTATCTTGTTATGATGTGTTTGGTTGATATCCTTGAGAGGCCTGCTCCTTTCTGAAGAGAAACCAAAGAGCTGTAGATCTGGGGGATGGAGGAGGTGGGGTGAGTACTGGGAGAAGGGGAGGGAGGGGAGGCTGCAGTCAAGATGTATTGTATGACAGAAGAATAAAGAAAAAGAAACAATAAAGTGCGATAGACTTTACTATCACCAACAATAATGTACAAAAGCATTTCTTGGACTCCGTTAGCGATTATTTTACAGGAAAATTCTCTACATGTAAATATGTCACACTTAGAATCAGTCAAATGAACACTGCTAATTTAAGTAACACAGACAATTTAGGTTTAATGCCCTAGAGAATCCAGGATAATTATTCTGAAAAACACCACTGCTTTTGTGAGTGGCTATTAAAGACAGGATGTCTGTTTTCAAATAATTCCAAGATGAGTTTGAATTTCATCAGCAGCATTAATGTGAAATAAACACAAAAGGGGGAAAATGCAGAACAGAATAGATCACTTCTTGATCAACTGGGACAGTGTCTAAAGAAATGTAGATATGGAGTACAACTTTAACTAAAAATCCCACTTCTGATGAGCAGAATTGGCCCAAGAATTTTCATCACTAAGTTCCCCAAGGTGCTAATTTTCTAATCAAATACTCATGGGCTCCCACCCCAACACTGAGACAAGATCCTTCTGATGGAATCAGACCAAAACCCATCTTCCTTAATCCATAAAATTTTATAATTATCTTGTAAAAATTAAACAAAACTTTCCTCTGGGGAACCTTCATGTTGATGCAGGTCCACAGTATGGAGACAGACACCACCCAGTTTCCAAAACCTTTAATTGTCAACAGCCAAGATGCAGATTTTTCTCAATCTCCCAGGATTCATAGCCACATGTGCCCCCAACCAACCCCTGCTTTAGCACAAAGATATTCTTCAGTCTTCCAGTACTTCAATTGAAGGCATCTGGCACCGAGATTTCCTTTAATCCCCCAGACCTCTGATTGCTGTAGCTTCTCCGACTTATGCTGAACCCCTCGGTGTATCTCCAGCACAGATCCTTCTCTACAACCCCAGAACCCTACCCACAGATAACTTTGAACCAAAGGTTCAGAGCGGCCACTACACTCAACACGTTAGTAGGAGTGCAGTCAGGCACCAAGAGGCAACTCCTCCCATCTATCCATGGCTTGCTTCTGTCAACAAAGTAAAGTCAACCCAGGACAAAATGCCATTGCCCACTGATTCTGCTGTTGGCAGGCAAAATAGCCACAAGCCTTCAAGGGGGAAGTCCCAACTGGGTGACCAATTTTGTAGCTGAAACAGGTTTGCCTCTTGATAAGTCCAAAGTTGATACGTTCAACAAGGGCCAGAGCATACGGGGCTGAACCTCAGAGTATCTGCCTCATTGCCAATAGTACTAGCTCTCATTTAAGGAACATTTTCCTGCTACCTAGCACAGTATGGGGCCTCTCCCTACCCTCTCATTACTGAGCTGTCAGACAGTCTGGTGTCTGCACCGAATTCTCAATACAAGGTGGAGGTAGGAAGTATGTTGCTGCTTCTCAATAAAACAACTTTCTTTCCTGCCCCAGACATTGTCTCCTGCCATTAATTTGCATTTAATTGAGTTTGATCCTGAATCCTCATGCACCTTTTGATAAACACAGACTAGCTCCAAGATGTCAATGGCTTTCACGTCAATGGGTTTTGGATAGTGGATCCACAATACCTCGTTGTGGATGCCCACACTCATTACCAGAGTCTTGATCTCCTGTTCTCTAGAACCTGGCTTTTTCTGTGATTTGAGGAAGGATCAGTACCTGGTCCAGATGCTTCATTTCTTTCCAGTCTGTTCTGGCCTATGTAGTGAACTCAGCAGCTAGAGGATACTTTTGACTCTATAAAATAAGGATTAAATAGTGCAATCTATAACAAAAGTCATTGTTCTGTCCCAAGATCTCCAGCAGTCC